GTACAATGAGCTAGCTTTAGCGATGTATTGAATAAATGAAACACGTCATGCTGACAAAGCCGGAACTTAACTCAATGTATGTTGTTGTGGCAGCTGTTATTGTCTTAAATTACTTTTTATCACTAATGAATCCTTTAATCATCTCCGTTTTAGGCAGGGGTACACAAAACTATTTACTCATCTGCACGATTTATTGATTTAATCAAAGATGCTTTTGTAAAAAACGATATCATTTTAAAAAGATATATGAATTGATGTCTTTAGGACAGACATTGTCATATATGTTTGAAAAACAATTCAATGCAATGGATAAACAAAGCAGACTGATACAAACTGGTTGATGGATCACAATCATTGAAAGCTATTGAAAGTTTGATCACATTGTTTTTCTTGTCTGATATTTAAAAAAAAGAAAAAAGATTTAATTTAGCAGTTTCTTCCATTTCTGGTCTGTACATAAGCTTAATCTAACTCAAACAGTGTTTTATAATGTGAATTCAGTAATCTTTTTGAGCCTTTTATTTGGTGGTTTTGTTTGTCACGAAATATATTTCCTGGGGTTTTTAACACATTGACTGATTGTGTGGTTCTTTTTGTCTTTGTTGTTGTTGTTTTGTATCAGAACTATTCGGTGGGACAAGACGATGCAATGAAGTGAAATAATGAGTCAAGAAGGTCTTACGAACCAGTTTTTTTCGTACGTTTTTAAACATTTTCACACAAAAAGACATTAGTGTTTTTTTATTTATAATAATTGAAAAGAGTTCATGTATGTTGCTTGTTATGTTTTTACCTCGATTTGAACACTTGTTTATCTCAGTGGTTGGTCAACTTAACCGATTTTCCTTAATAACTAATAAGTATGATTTTATTAACTATTATATTATGTAATATCTCCGCAAGTGAACGACTAGCCAATGATGAGTTCTACACCAGCGGTGAGAAAATCTTTTAAGAGATATTTGGGAAATGAACATCATTACTTTAAGCACATTTTCCTATATTTAAAACGTGATCATGACATAATTGTTCAATGAAGAAGCATTATTTTGTGGTTCTGTTGTTAATTCACTAAATTTGGAGATATTTAAAAATGATAATTTTCTAACATGAAAAAAAGCTAATATTTCAGTAGCCGCAAACAATTTTAGCACTAAAAACATCATAATATTGTGAAATGTTATAGGGGACTTATTTAACAAAACACTCAGATATATATTTTCATGAATTGAAATATTATAAGTCTTAAACTATAATTTTGTATTTAGTCATAAAAGGGTTCTTTTAGATATGTTTTTATTTATGAGAAAATTGGAATTACAAGATAACTTTAAAAGAGCAGCGCCAGAGTTTACAATTCGTGTTGTAAATAAACAAGAAAATAATTTTGACTTTTTTTCCTATAAACATGATAAATATTTTACTGACAGCGATGGTTTTTGGTAACGCCTTATGAATACATTATTCGAGTCATTCTTGAACTTTGAACATATGAAAAACAATGTTTATTAACTCTGATATCACGTTGTTTCCAATAATCACTATTTTCATGTTGAAAGGCCTCCGTACATTTAAGCAAAAACCACAGATGTCGTATAACGTATTTTGGCGATTACGCAATGAGGAGACACCGTAACCACCTGTATAAATACGTAAAACAGGGTCGGTAGACACAAGAATTCCTACTTAAATTATGTATAATAGCCCTTATGATATGTGGCCTGCCTTTTTAGTCTGTTTTTTAACATTTTGTCTGTGATATGCAGGCTTCTGTACTTCTGATTCCCTTTCAATATTGCATTTTTAAAATTATGTAGATCGCCAATCGTTTCCACGTTTTGGACTTAGGGACCATACGTCGCACTTCATGGAATGGCACGAATGTGTGAGATTGAAGGTTCAGGAAAACACCGTATGAACGCATCCGCGGATGATTGTAAATTCAAATGTCACTGATTAGTAGATCATCGGTTCTTTCGCTTTCGTTGTTGATGTTAAAGAATTATTTTAGAAATAGACAACTTTCAAAAAGTTTATTACATTTTGTGTTTTTGTTACAGTTTAGGTTGTTAAATCAATTGTAATAACTTTTCGGAAGTTCAGCCGGTTTTGTAATTTAATTTTTTAATACTTGACTTTTATTGTTACTCCTACATTTTCTTTTATATCAAGCAATCAACATTACTTATAACTGGTATTTAACATTATTTTTTTTATTAGTAGATGATTTGTACATCGGTTCTTTCGTTTCCGGGGTTGTTGTTAAAGAATTTTTTAGAAATAGAAAACTAGTGCATGCAAATATTTATTATATTTTTAGTTTTTATTACATTTCAGGTTGTCTACTGAATTGTAATAACTTTTTGGCAGGTCAACCGGTTTTGTAATTAAATTGTTACACTTTTACTGTTACTCCTACATTTTAATTTATATAAAACAATCAGCATTTCTTATAACTGATGTTTAACGTTATTGTTTTATTAGTCGTTGGTTTGTTCATCGGTTCTTTCTTTTTCGTTGTTGTTTAAGAATTATTTTAGAGAAAGACATCTTTCAGAAAGTTTATAACATTTTGAGTTTCAGGTTGTCAACTCAATTGTAATACTTTTGGCAGTTCAACCGGTTTTGTAATAACTTTTCTATATACCGAACAAGCAAATTTTCTTTATTGCTATTATATCGTTAGTAAAGATGATCTTCAAAAATATATTATTTGGTGGTTGTACAGCATAGAAAATGAAAATGCTACGTATCAGATAGTTTGTTACATTTCAAGATGTCATTACGCTTCAGATTGTTTATTTAAGGTACTATATGGACAATTCTTCTGGAATAGTATTAAGATCGTTACATTTGAATGAACGTCATCCTTCCTTTATTTATTCATATTATCAATAAATTAACATTAATGTGACCTTAAAAAAACAATTTCTCCATGGTATCGTAGGAATAAAATGTGCGTATATTAACTATAGAATGCATTGCATGTCAAGTACTTAAATGAATGCAGGTTGTCATCAACTTTATGATACCATTTCTGCTCTCCAATTTGAAATGTAATTTTCCGCATCCATGTAAGTTTTCTAAAAATTTCGATGTTGAGTCCAAATTCGTTTTTTTAAACACCATGTATGTAACCGAGACATTTCTTAAGATTTGACCGTTTATTACATTTTCGGGTTTAATTACAATTCAGGTTGACAACCTAAATGTTATAATATTTTGGCATCCTTACTAGTTTTGTAATAATTTTATTACAATTCCGGTTTTATTACAATTCAGGTTGTAACAGGGGTAGTTATTACTAAACATGAACACACATAGATCATTTATATATTGTATGTGCTAGAGGTGGAGTTTTAATAATTATAATACTGTAAAGGCTTAGTCAAAATGATATGCATAGGAAGGTTTCGGTGTCCAAAGTTCTATAGGCTTTAAGTACAGCAAGTAGGGTAGCAAAGTAACTAAGTTTCAGAATTCAGACCATTTTAGTGAGTGTTTCACAGTACAGTATTTTTCGAAATTTGATACAGAGCTTACAAAAATATCTAATAAGACAACATTATAACTTTTTTGACACTAAAATTCGGCGACATACACTGCTCGTAAGTAGCGATAGTGCGATTTATCGACGATCCAAAATCGAATTTAAAGCGTTGGGCTTTATAATGATGTACAGAAACAAACTTATGCAAGGGCTTATCCACAACGGAATCAGATAAATGGTGTTGTAACGATTGGCTCCAGAAAGTAGACAAGTGCTTTACAAAAATTAACACAATTTACATTAAAGAAAAAACAAATAGCCGATAAAAAACGACCATACCATGTGAGCCTCTCTAAGCCATTCACCTCGGGTTATAGCTTTGTGGCTTATTCATTAATAGTGTTTTATTTCGAAAATTCATACACTTATAATACGAAAATAACAAATTGTCGATTTAAAAAACGGCAATGGCATGCGGGTATTTGAACGGTTTGCTTCGGGAAATGGAGATTTATTTTTTTAACGAAAATTCGAAGACTTTATGTACATAAAGAACAAATCATTGGTCCAAAAGGTCTCTCGCATTCTTCTCCTTGCATTTCATCTTTGATCAAAGAAGAATCCTCAACTTAATCCATGTACCTGAACACTTCTTCATATATTATATCTAAATAATAAATGCTCTAACCCGCGTTTGTATGTCAGACACCACATAGACACATGTTCATCAAGTTTTTATAGCACTGTTTTGTGCCAATTCGAAATAATATAAACCAACGTTTTAGTAAGGTAATAATGTATCTCAGTGAAATTTTTCAGTCGATCTAAGAATATACAGAAATATCAAATCGCCATCAAAAAAAAAAAAAAAACGACCATGCCATGCGGCCTCTCGAGGCCATTTTCCATTAGTTACAGCTTTGTGTCTTATATCAATTTTAAACAAAACCTCCAAATTAACCATAAAATGAATCAGCAAAGGAAGCAGACCAATTGTTTTGGCTCCAGAAAATGGTGAGTTCTTTACGAAACATCTTGGCAACATTTTAAATTTTGTCCATTTGGGCGTTCTTTCATATTCAGTTTTACTTTTATTTAATTAAGTTAAGATGAACCTCCAAACTACTACAATGGCTTTTCCGCAATTGAATTAAACAAACTGTGTTTTTAGCGGTAGGTTCCAATTCTGGTGTGTGTGTGTGTTCTTTGTTGTTATTTTTGTGTTTTTTTTTGTGTTTTTTTTATTGGGGTGTTGTCAGTTTTGAAAAAATAACATAAAAGTTTTATTGAAATATTTAAAGAGATCATGATGAAAACCTATTGCATTTTCTGTCAGTAAATTTATTCTCTTTCAATTTTACATTCGTCTTTGTGTTACATGCGAGTCAATATTTAGGTGTACCTCTGTAAATAAAACCGACAATGAAAATGCACAATAAACTGTTATATTTCAATAACCTACATACACATTTGTATTGCTTCAAATATCACGTCTGCTGTGTTAAAGGAACTACTTGGGTCCTAACGCCTGAAACAATAATGTTTTAAATTTTAACATGCTAGATAAACCGGGGCATTTAAAACGGACACAATGCAACGAAAATGAAGAGCTGTTCTCATAATATCAGTGGACTAAATATTTTGTACGATTTTTAACCAGATTAGTGTAAAAAAGCGTTTACACTTTTTTCATTTTGGGATCATATTGCACAATTAAAATTATTATCCTTAATATACTGATTGAGAAAATGATCTAAAATTGTGCACAGAAATTATCGGTGTACTCATCACACAACATGAAACGGTACACTAATCTCGAAAAAACATTCTGGTCCCTTCATATCAAATCAAATTCGCAATGAAGTCCCTTTAAGAGGTAATGCATGATTTTCGGAAAATTACAGTGACGTAAAACTTTTGTTCCTGTCACTAGGCGGATTTATTGACAGCCGCAACTTGTTTTAGAACGAATATCTGCGCGTTTCGAGAAGGACGTTTAACGAACGGAGATATAAGGACTAAAAGAGTAAGTGTATAATGTATTCTATATTGATTTTAAACTATCTTCTTTTTCTTTACACGAATTATTTACAAAATTAAAACTTCATTTAGTATTAATTTAAAATAAACAGTTTAAGATACGTAAATGCTAATTTGAATTAAACAATATTTTGTTAACATTAACTTATTATAATGAATAACCACAATAGCAGAAAAAGATATTAAAATTTATTTTGAACATAATGTACGTATTGGGTCATACTATTATAACCGATGTTTTTAACGTGTAAAGGAAGGTAACAAGAGTATAGTATATTGTCCTAATGCATTCTCGGTTTGATGAAAATATTTTGATTAAATGTCTAAGTATTTGTTGATGATTTAAAGCGCAATAAGCAAACATTTAATTTCATATGATGAGTAAGATGAGTAACACCGACAGAATACAAGATAGGTAGTAGTTTCCGGTTAAATGGAACACAATAATGTTATGTTGACATTGTGCTATTCATAATTTCAAGGGCGTATTCTTTTAACACGTTTTCCAGCAGATTAATCTCTAGCTGGGTAGACGCGGCCGAATGGCTTGCTATATTGTCCTTATGTAGCAATGGCGTAAAGCTCGCACTAGTTCTTGCACGGTCTAGTCATTACGTCTAACCTTTGACTAATAGTACTGGGCATCACACAGTAGTAGGGGTAATGTATTTCCCTGTCAATGAAGAAAAGGTTCTCTTGTCTTTCGATGAACTCGTCCGTCGTGCTTTCTTTATAGTTGGAGAACTGTCTGTCTTAAATTAACGGCATTGTTCTTTGATTTCAGGGCCAAACAGGAATGTCCAGTACATTTTGGTAGTTACAATATGGGCCAGATAAACTCCATCTCTGCGGTACTGTGCGATAAACTTTTTCAAAGCAGTCACTCTCTCTTCCTTATTCTCATGTGTCCGAAGTCTATGACCCCATCACGAAATAAATTTCTTCAAGTTTTTATTGTCACTTAATATGCGATAAAATTCTCCTAGTGATTATAGTGAGGGAACACACATCTCCCAGTCTCTATCAATGTCGTCATAATCACCCAAACGTCACAATAAAGATAAATTTTCTTTCCCGACTCTTATGATATTTAATTCTCTTCTGGCCATCGATGAAATGCATATACCACTTGAGAATTAATGCATGGAAAGCAAGAGGTACCTTTCAAAATTCCTAACATTTTTCTCGCCTGTAGAATATGCATGAGCGTCTTGTTAACAGTGCGATGTTCAGCATTATCCGTTTGCGTCTTTTTAACCTGATTGCTTTTAGCAACAAATTTTTAGTTTCTGGTAATGAATATCACGAAGTGTTTGCAGTGTACATTAAGATGACATCATTTATGAAGAAAACGACGTCAGGCTATTAATTTGCAAACAAGACATTAACGATATATATGATTTATGCTTGCAAAAGTTGATAATTGGTTACAGGGGCCGTGATTGTGTATATATTTCTCACATATAGAACACAACATAAATTAATTCAAATATGTTTAAAGAACTTGTAAGTAAAGTTTAGTTACAATATCCTTATAAAACAAATATGGCAACGGTCTGCGTTATTCTAGGAGACCACTCGTACAAATATTTAGAAAATGACATTTGATACAAAATATGGCAACTTAGACCAACTATCAACTAGATTTTAAAAAAAATTATTTTCAAATATTTTCATGCATTTGTGTATTAGAAATGAATATAATATTTCTTTCTTATAAAGAACGATCACATAAGAAAGTAGCAAGTTAGCACTGAATGTGAAGTAGTAAAATGAAAATAAAATAGAATTATGAGTTCCATAACACTTAATCACTATAACTGTACTTTTGGCAATAGTACCATCCGCAAATGATGATTTAGGTAATTGGCCATCAAGTAACTTTTATGAATCTTTTACAGGAAACCAGGTGCAAAAAAAGTCTTAATGGGCCTTTAAATGGGGATTTATATAAATAAAGGTAGTTGATGGCATTAACAAATTTAAACAACAACAATATTTAACGACTGGTAACAATGTTAATCTTATTTTCAAATATTTTGAACATTAAATGATCAAGAATGTGGTTCAGAATACTTTAAAGTGACATAATGCCCATCCAAGGGTACATAGTGAGCGCACAGGTGAAGATCAAAACATGTTTTCATTTTGCCATAATCTCTTTTAATAAAATAATTAAGTTCGCGTAAACAATAAATAACACACAGATCCAAATGAAATCTATGTAAATGTCCATTAGAATTTACGTATAACGCTTAGTTTATAAAAGGTGTGGGGCAGTCTTTTTAAATTTTAGGCATATTTATAATTTAATTCTTAACATTTTCCAATAACAACTGTTGGTCAAACACCATTTTGACAGTCAATCTTTTGAAATATAAAGTCAATTAAGCTCAACTTGACTATGAAAATATGAGCATAATGTCACTTTAAGCATCGGTACATAATAAAGGTATAATGATATACGTGGATAAACGCGTAAGAAATATCTCATTCCTTGGTGCTGGATAAGGTGGTGCGGGAACCTTATCCTTCATGAACAAGCGATGACATTTTGTGCTTGCGATAAGTTATTATCTTCGATACATTTTAAGGTTGACAGTTTAACAGAAATGGAAGGTTCAAGCCAATATCAGATTATTCAAGGCAATGGGGGAATGCCTGTTACATGGCAACACGACAAGGCTCTGGGGGAATGTATGATTGAACTTTATGAAAAAAGTCTCTGGACCGACGTCAAGTTCAAATGTAATGGCCACAACGAACAGGAGCGAATTCACACGCATAAGCTTGTTCTTGCGGCAAGAAGCCCAGTGTTTCAGGCAATGTTTTTTGGTCCGTGTTCATACGATTATGAAGACATTGTGCTGGACAATACCGGAGCAGAAACTTTTGATATTTTCCTAAGGTGAGTTCAGGATGCGAAGACAAAGTTAACATAAAGAAGATAAAACATCTTAAAAATGTAGAAAAGTAAGACAAGAAAACCTTAGATTTCTAGTAAGGAATGCTATACACATTTAATTTCAGAATAAAAATTATCCTGCTTTAAATATTTTGTTCAGATATATAAGTTATTGTATTTGTTCTTTTTTCAGTTGTTACATTTGGTTAAATTGTTAAATAGAACAAATGCTAGTTCTACTATAAAATTGAATCGAGCATTGATAACTTTGAGGTGCTTCTGATTTATATTTATTTCAAATATGTGTCAAAATATGTGTGGTAAAGTATTGTCAATTTGTTTTGAAAGTCATTGCTTCAAATGGTAAACCTTTTGCTATGATAACGTGTTTCAGGTTTCTGTATACGGACAATGTGAACTTGACCCAAGACATAGCTGTATCAGTGCTCGAGGTAGCTCATTATTATCAGGTGACAACTCTGGTGAAGTTATGTGCTGGTTTTATAGCTTCATGTATTACATCTGATAACGTACTTGATACGTTATCAATTGCTCGTCGCTACGATGTCATTTCTCTTTGTAATGCATGTTGCAGCTTTATTGACCAGAACGCTGATAAAATTATGGACTCGGAAGGATTCCTCAAACTGACAGAAGATACCCTGACATACATTTTAAAAGGTGACCTATTCTTTGCAGAGGAAGTTGTTATATTTCAAAATGCCGAAAAGTGGGCACAGAAGAAATTAGAGGAATGCAACCTCAAGCAAAATGGGCAAAATATCAGAAAAATTTTAGGTTCGGCATTTTTTCATCTAAGATTACCAACTATGACATCGGAAAACTTATTAAAATGTACTCGTAAGAAGGGTTATTTTACTATGGATGAGTATGAGGAACTCGTAGATTGTATGAGCCAAACGTCTGATACAACTGTTAACCGCAATTCACGCTTTCCAAGACTCCCGACTGAGGAACATGTGTACTGTACCGATGAGCAAAGCAAAATTATTTCCGTTGACAGATTGAATACAGGTTTTCAAATAACTGTCAGCAGAGATGTTAAACTTAAAAAGATTGAGCTTGCGAAAATAAATACATGTGTGAGATATGGTGATTTGTTCGGCACGGATGGCAACACAATGCAGGTTACAAAAGATGACATATTTTATAGATATCAAGACTTTGTCGTTCGACCATTTCAAAGGTACCCAAACAATTATTTTCTTGTATATAATCTGTTTTGTCGTGAAACTATTCCTGGTGTACAAGTGCCAATATCAGGACAATTGAATGTGACATGTAGCAAAAGCGAAGAAGCTGATGGAAATGATCAGAATAAAAAGGAAACAAGGCAAAATGAATATCTGGTTCTCGAGAAAGATTTGAATTTTATATCTGTGGAAAGCACTCTTCAAGATATAAGTTTTGAAGAGCCACTTCTTCTTGTAGAGTCAAGATCGCCATATACTTTTACGATAAACATGGAATGTAAATCAAGATACTTGTTTAACTTGAAGACAGCTTGTAGTGAGAAAACATGTCCATCAAGCAAGTACAGTGGCATTTTAGTACAGAACGTATATGGAGAATTTACCGGTATCCGAAGTCTCTGTTTTAAGAATATATCGAATCGTGAATAATGTTTAGAATATACACGCATAGTAAATGTAATTTTGCTACATACATTGTTTGTAGAACCACCAGTTTACCGTAGTCATCGCATATCTCAGTGCAAAATATGTACAATTGTATCCATGTAATAGTTATCTGAGGATATATGCAGGTCAAACTACTGTTGCAATTTTAACTTAACTTTACAGAAGTGATCAGTACCATCCCTTGTTGTACACATCACTGGCACATTCAGCTTTGCTGCAAAAAAATGGCCGCCAGAGCTAAAAAATAGAAAAATCTTATCCGGCTTTCACAGGTCAAACTACTAGTAGGATTTCTACCAAACTTTACAGGAGTGATCATAACTATCACAAGTTGTGCATATCGCCGGCAAGTTCCGCTTCGCTGCTCAAAATTGCCGACAGAGCTAAAAATAGAAAAAAACTTGTCCGGCCTTCACAAGTGAATCTCCTGTTGGGATTTCAACTAAACTTTATGAAGTGATCAGTACCATCCCTTGTTGTGCACATCGCCGGCACGTTCCGTTTCACTGCGTAAAATGGCGCTTAAAAAAGAAAAATCTTGTCCGGCCTTCACAGGTTAAACTATTGGTGGGATTTTAACCAAACTTTACAGGAGTGACCATACATAGTTTTGGGAGGCATATGTTTTAGATTACATTGATGGCATGATGTATCAAATATGTGTGTGGGCCGGGCTTCGTAATACAGTTGAATGTGAACATTTACATTTGTATATAGTATTATTTGTCATCAGAGTTCAAATTAGTGTTACTTACAATATTTGATAATAATTGATCGGTAATTTCTTTGCTGATATGAATATGACTCAATGCTACTCAGCTAGTATACAAATTATAACTTATTAGATGGAATATTTAATATCATTCTCAGATTAAAGTTTGTAGATATATATACTTTAACATTTTCGAAATATTAAAATCATTTTTATTTTAAAATGTAAAATCGATAATTCTTTTTGAAAGCTTTTATGAATGATCAATATTTTGCCAACGTGTCTATTAACACTTCTTTGTTGCAAAGCGTCTAAGTTATTTACAAAGAATGAATAGAAGTCAGCTGGCAGTACATGCATGTCAATGTCATAATATTCATAGATCGGCGTTGTATAGAACGCAATCGCTTTACGAACGAAATAATTTAGTATTCATAAGAAATAAGATATTTTGAGTGTACTTTCACCTGAAATTTATCGAATTGCTATTAATAAATATAAACACCTATACAATATTTTTATATTTAATATTAATGATTTAAACGATTTTTCCTTTGCATAAAAAAGTTAAAATATCGATGTCTGAAAATTGAAGGTTAAAATTTATGACATGCAAAAAGTCGTGCATTTATTACTTTGAATTTCAGATATTATTGCTAACATAAATAAATTTTGCTCCATTTGATATTATCAATTTATTAATTTAGTTATCACCCGTTTGATTTTATTCACCAGTTGCTCCTTTAGTTTACGCGCCAAAATACTATAATTTTTTCTTTTGTTCCCATCAATTTTCCCACCATTTAATTACCGCCATATATGTTTCACGTCTTTTCATGACATCATTGGAAAAATAGAGACCGCATAGTTACAGAGAGGATATTTAGTTTAAAAGGTTAAAAATGCCATTATGATAATAACAAATACAAAAAGTATTATTATAACAGCATATTAGCACTCAGTAATGTACTTAAATATACATTTATCACTAACTGAACTTCTATCTATAAGTAAATCAGGAATTTTCACATATTTTAAGTTAATAAAAACTAGTTTTTTATACTAATAAAGATAAAGTTGAGAGGTGTACAACCTGATCTTCAATTCTGCGGCCGGTAACCAGACATATTAAGATAAAATTAGATTTTCGGTAATATCTTATATGCTCGTAGATCAAGTTTAAACGTGTCAAGTTTAAACGTTTGTTTAACCGTATCTTCAATACCTAACCTATTTAGATATATTATGATTTTCGAAACATACTTAATGAGTGGGGTTTTGTATGCGTAACTAGGTGGTTTGTTTACATTTAATCGATCTGTTCATGTTGGAGAAGATTTAACAAGTTAAAGTAAGGACATTAGAGAACAAAAGGTTAGTAAATATTTCAATATACTAATTTGAAACAGATAATTTTAATAGGTGATGCCAAGTATTTATTTCTTGCTGATTTTTGTCTTTAAAGTTTAAAAGAGATTTTACAAACGAATTTCTCTTAAATACAAAATGCAAGCTGGTTAATTTGAGTTAATTTGTGTTAGTCAATGTCTAAACGCTCCTCTTCTAAATGAGTTAGAAACATTTCTTTCCTATTTGTTAAAACCTTAAACATTCTTTGATAACTTCACAAATTAAGCAGAATCCAACATTTCAATCATGACAACGGTGAAATTTTGAAATTAGAAACTTCTGCATAGAGAATGTTCATTTACTGTCTTTTTCATGAAGCCAAGGGAGGAAGCAAAACAATTTATGATGTATGATTTTAAAACAAATACAAGAAGAAAAATGAATATATTGTCATGACCTTCTCGTCGTCGTCGGGGTCAGCGTTATTGTCTTTTTACTTTTATTTTTTGTAAAGGTCTATTTTCTCAGAAACATAAAAATAAAAGCTATTTACTTTATAAACTTGGTTTACGTGTTAATTTTTATAAAAACGAACAAATGCTAGTTATCCTAAAATTATTTTATGCAATGTTATGCCCCTTTTGAACTTACATTTCTTAAGCCTGGTTATTTTTTGTTAAGGTCCATTTCCTCATAAACTAGCAATTCTATTCGCTTCAAACCTGATATTCACTGTCAAATTATAACACCAAATCAGAAGGGCAGATAGTCTTAAAACTCATTTTTATACGCCCGTTTGAAAAACGGGTCGTATTATACTCTGGCCCGGATGCCGGGCGGGCGGCTTGGCGGGCGGCGTTCAATATTTGTCCGGAACATATCTCCTACACGCATGAAGGAATTTTAAAGAAACTTCATAGAAATGTTAATCACTATAAGAAGCAGTGTCACGCGCGCGTGGTCAAAGTTGAAGATATAAAAAAATGTGTATTCGGACCATTAAGTCATCATAAATTGGATTGAAACCCAAAAGGTCATTATCACAACTACTCATGTGAAACATGTAATTTAGGTTGATATATACAAGGTCGAGGTATCTAACGATGATAAAATGCAGAAGTTTTGCTCAGAGCATATCTCCTCCCTGCATGTTGGGATTCTAATGAAACTTCAAAGAAATGTTCACTACTATGAGACGCGGTGTCACATGAATGAACCAGATTTCTAGGTTAAATATTAACGCACACTTAAAGGTCATTGAACTTCTACTTTCATCGGGGTATTTTAATGTAACTTGACATAAATCTTCACCATTGTGAGGTTTATTGCGCACATAATTCAGGTCCCTGCTACCAAAGTAAAGGTCACTTGAAGATTTGTGTACGGGACCATTTAATCATTATTTATTGATGGATTATAACATAAATGATAGCTATCATGACTACAAGTATGACACACTTAATTTAGGTTAATATTTATTTGCAATGTCAATGTCTCTAGAGATGATAAAATATCCAGATATTTTCTGGCAATTGTCCAGAGCATATCTCCTATATGCATATCTATAATGCCTACATGTCTGTCAAAAGCTTTTGTCACGGGCGTATTTTGCGGAAAATTGCCCTTGGTGCAAAGTTATTTTTACTTAATATTTTTAAGTCAATTTCTCAATAACAGACAAAAAAACACACTTCAAATTTGGAATACTTTTTTTTCAAAAATTTCAAATTATGAAAAAAAACATAGTTATGTATATCACAGTTAGAAATTAAAAAACCCGACACATTCTAACTAATGCTGCAGATAATTTTTAAAAAAGAGAAATAAATCTAAAAAAATAGAATATCGAAAATTCGAACCTGCAGCTTCGCGATTGCAATGCCATCCTACTTACCACTAGGCCATCGGGTCGTTACTATGCAAATCATTAAAAATTGGGTAAATCATAATGAATTAAGGAAACTCAGGTCAACCTCGCTAAATAACATTTTATACAATATAATCCTACAAATATCAATTTTATCTCATACAATCAAAACGTCTAGAATTACAATGGGTTTCAATATAAATCTTAAAAAATATGATTGAATTTCAAATTAATACTTTAGCGTGTAGACAATTTTCATTCAGCACACATTGTTATCAAAATTAAGAATATGTGTAGATATATTTCTTGTGAGTTTCTTATTCTGAATTTATTCATATTCAACCAGTTATGTTATTTTTGGACGAGTATAAAATATATATCCCGCTGATTTCAAATGTTAGATTAAAATTTAAAAACTTCGTATTGAATACACGAAATAATATATGTAAATATAGATGTGAAGTGATTTTCAAAGACGGAATTAAGTTGTTCAATCAGTCAAATTCTCGTTGTAATTTCACGATGAAACATGGAACTTGTATGAAAAAAGACAAGACAGAGAAAATAAAGATCGTGATTTTAATAGTAGATTTTTAAAAAAAAATCCATAACAGGTAACCGAGCAATGCAAAAGTGTGGCATACAGATTAGAATTTTGTTCACTTGACATAAGTTTCAAACAATATTTAACGCAACATTCTTGTCAAAATATTTGGCAAACAAAATGATATAAATGATTAAGACATGGGAGTTGGTTGCGGAATTTTGACAATACATATATTCATATTTCCCAAACCAGTGAATTCTCAAAATTAATTTAGAAAAATAGGCCGTAGTATTGAAACGTATCTGGGGTCTGCTAGCCCGGACACACTTCAATATCGACACGTGGGTTCTTTTCAAACACACATTATTAAATTAAGGGCAAATAGGGACACGAGGACTGAAAGATTATGGACACCTAAAATAAGATTAAATATACATTTCACAAACAATGAAATTCGTATATGGTGTGTTCTGTGGATGGCTTAGGCTCTGGCTCCTCGTTTTAGGTCAGGAATATTCTTCTGAACATTACGACTAGAATAATGTATAAGATGAAATGAAAGGCTTGGCAAATACGGTGTCACGTCTTGCCTGTGGTCTGGTACAAATTTATGGTAGGAATTACCATGAAATGTTATAAGGTAGATGGGTATCTAAACAGGTAACTACAAAATACAGTGGTGTTCTACCCTGGTATATGGGTATCACTATTGAATATAGGATTATGCCTATGGAAACTTGGTCTTCAGTCAGGATCTATAATAAATGGACAATAATGCCAAACTAGATGATTTAATATAAAGCTTCGTTATGAGCTATTCCTGGCATAAAGTATTCTATACATTTCTGGTGACTGGAGAAGTATCCATATTCAATAAGTATAGATTGTAGCTAAGGTGTGGTCGGGTGGCTATCTACCAAGGTACTTACAATTCTGGCGGATTCGGGCTGCTATTTATAGTTTTGGACGATGGATGGCTAGCTTGGCGTAGGTTGCCTAGCTTGGTAGTATCGTTCTGATGACGTCACTGCCTAGCTCGCGCGGGCAGAAATTTAGCCGGTGCCAGCTGTCATGTTTAAATTGGCAGCGTCACACCGTACAATCAAATGGGCAGACAGCTGTTCCAGCGTCCACAGCTGTACCAGTATATACATGTCGGCGCGGGGAATACAATTGACGTACGGTAAGTATTCATCTATTTTTAACATATCCCAACTGTATTCGAGTAAATCAATGTTATGGATTCATAGTCAACATCCAAAGGAGCATGCTAACAAATTTCTGGCCCTGTGCAAGCTTTACTTCACATGAATTTTGACTGAAAATAACCACACTATCCGATGAGATGCGGTATTTTTAGTTTGAAGTCACAAAAACATATATTTTCTCATGATAATTAATCCTTTTTTTCATACGATTTGTTAACGTCAACATTTCGTCATTAAACATTCCAAACCATACCTTCCGATTTTCCAGAATATTATAAAAGTGAAAAAAAAAATGACCCAAAATTGAAAATAGTTTAAACGCTTTTCACTCAAATCGGATTGAGAATAGCACAAACATATGATTTTCAGTGTATTTCTCCTATATTTCTTGGTTATATTTTATTAATATTTATGTTTTAGTGCTCATGTTTTTTTATGTGAAAAAAATAAAATTTCATGTTTTTAGGCTTATAAACCTCAGTGGAGTTCCTGTAATAGGTTTATGAAATGTTTAAGTCAAAAGGCAAAGGCAAATTTAACGCTTAATATTCAGTCTTGTAAATGAAGGCATCCATCAAGTGTTATTATAAATAATTCATATAATGGACAAGTCCTATGCAGTGAATGGCTGTGTAACCCAAATTATGAAAGTGCATAGAAAAACATGTTGTTATTTATCCTTGAAATCTGTTTTAATGTATAGTGCAATAGAAATAATAACCATTCTTAAAAATTTTACAAATTTTATTTTTTTAAATAAATCATTTTATATGGCAGACATCTCGGGTTACACATCCATTTACTGCATGGGACATGTCTACTATATGCCATTATTTATAATAACACTTGGTGGATTTAGATATAATACAGAGTATTCGTATTAAGCGTTAAATTTGCCTTTACTTTCTTTGAATATATCATTTCAGAAACATATTAATAGATCTTGCTACCTTTTTATATTATAATAATAATTATATTATAATAATAATAATAATAATAATAATAAAAATAATATCTTTATTTAAAGAAGGTTATACATTATTAACATACAATAACAATCACATATATCTTATTTCCAATATGGCCTTCTGAAATAAAAAAACAACAACAACAACAGGACATGCATAGGAAGAAACTGAATGTATAATATGTAATTTTTAGAATATTACAACTCATATACTTTCTACAGACAAGTTGTTTTAACATATACGTATATTGCATCATTCGTTCGTTTGTTGATTCGTTCGTTCATTTATTAATTAATTCATTCATTCATTCATTTATTAATTAATTAATTCATTCATTCATTTACTCACTCATACATTCATATGAACAATATCAATATTGAAATACAGTGCGGTTAATGGAGATAGAGGCCTCTTAGCTAAGATAAAACAAATGATAGAAAGTAATAATAAAAATAATATAATTAGAAAGTATCATGAATAAAGTAATATTTTAAATGAACAAAAAAGTTTTACTTTTTCCGAGTGACTGTAGGACAAAAGCTCTAAAAATTGTTTCTTTGAACAGCTTTCAGCGGTATTCATCCTTGCCCATGAATTGCTGTCGATGTTATCGTTAAAAAGAGGCGAACAGCTGATGACGTTACTAAAATTTTGATGACACTCAAACTTAAATACCTTATAACTTTAACAGAAAAGCTTTTTTGAAGGTATGGTTTGGAATATTTAATGACAAAATGTTGACGTTTACGAATCGTATGAAAAAAGGATTAATTATCATGAGAAAATATAAGTTTTTGTGACTTCAAACTAAAAATACCGCATCTCATCGGATAGTGTGGTTATTTTCAGTCAAAATTCATGTGAAGTAAAGCTTGCACAGGGCCAGAAATTTGTTAGCATGCTTCTTTGGATGTTGACTATGAATCCATAACATTGATTTACTCGAACACAGTTCGGATATGTTAAAAATAGATGAATACTTATCGTACGTCAATTGTATTCCCCGCGCCGACATGTATATACTGGTACAGCTGTGGACGCTGGAACAGCTGTCTGCCCATTTGATTGTACGGTGTGAGCGTGTGGCTAATTGATCATTAAAACGGCTACAGTGTAGAAAATAAGTTATTATAAGTGTTATAATCATTGCAAATATCACAATTATTAAGTTATCTGTGATAACTGTGTATATATTGATGATTAAAAGTCGATTTAATGAAGTGGAGATAATTACTTCAGTACTTGAGTAGTTTCCGGATATGGGTTTATTTTCGGACGTAAAATGATGGGCCTGATCGATACAGTATGTTAACTTTGTCATTTAAAAGATGTATTTCTAGCAGGTAAAGACATAGACACAGATGGAGGCTTGTAATGAGACACAGTCGAGTCAGAGCTTACCAGCTGCTTGGCAACACGCCAAAGCGTTGGGTGATTGTATGATAAAGCTCTATGAGAACAAACTTTGGACAGATGTCAAGTTCAGATGCAAAGATCATGACGACAATGAAAGGATTCATGCGCATAAAATAGTTCTTGCTGCAAGAAGTCCCGTGTTTCAGGCGATGTTGTTTGGTCCATGTGCAGAGGAAAACGAAGAAATTCTACTTGATAGTATTGAAGCAGAAACATTTGATTTATTCTTGAGGTAAGGAATACCTGTCAGGCAAAGATACGATAAGATGGTAAAAACTACCCTTAAATAAAAATTTGACTATATGGAGTGTTTCTTCGTGACCAAAAGACTATTTATTTCAAGATTCGACGCCTAGAAACAATAACATTTAATTGATATCCTCATAGTCTGAAATAAGTGGATCTGCCGGGAATAATTCAAAAAGCATTATACATGTGATTATGTGTACTTGTAAATAAAGCTGTAAATTCATTAATCAAAATTTTTGCAGTATCCAAGTATTGTACGAAATTCGACGGCTCGCTGTTATACATATTACATTGTTCAATGGTAAAACTCCGCTATATTGCTCATAGTCAGCTCGAATTAAATGCTAGACTGATATTGATGTTAAACACACGTGTAATTACTAAATCGTTTTGTTAATACCTATATCATCAATATTTTTCTCAACTTACAATTGACATATAAAATGAATAATATATTAAGTAATATACATTTCAAATGCTACGCTGAATAGATATTAAATATTGCAAATAGCCTTTAACAAATTATATATTCTTAGCCTTTTTGATTAAGATTATTAAATAAATTTATGTAAAGTCACTGAGTAACTGTGTGTGTATAAAATGTGTTACTATCTGTTTTAGATATGCTTATATGGACAAAGTGACATTAACGGAAGATTTGGCTGCAAAAGTACTAGAGACAGCTCACTATTACCAGGTAACAAACCTGGTGCAGTTTTGTGCCGATGTTCTGGCTTCATGTGTCAAACTCGAAAACGTATGTGATATTTTGTCACTAGCCCGGCGTTTCGAAGTGATTTCCCTGTGTAAAGCATGCTGTATTTTTATTGACCAGAATGCTGATCAAGTGATTAAATCTGAAGGCTTTCTAAAACTGACAAAAGAAAACCTTGATTATATCTTGATGGGAGACACATTGTATGGAAACGAAGAAAGTATATTCAAAAAGACCGAAGAATGGGCACAAAAGAAATTAGAAGAAGGCGAGTTTGAGAAAAATGGACAAAATACGAGAAAACTTTTAGGATTATCATTTTTCTACCTAAGGCTACCAACTATGTCATCGGAAAACTTCTTGCAATGTACTCGTAGGAAAGGTTATCTTTCAATCGAAGAATATGAAGATATAGCTGATTTCATCAACAAAGTACCTGGCACAACTGTTACGAGCAATTCATGCGTGTCTAGAGTTCCAATTAAAGAACAATGGAACTTAACATGTGGAGAAGTAACAGATTTCAGTAACAGGAAACGTTTTGAAGCCTATGTAAGCAGAGATATCAAGCTTAAAGCATTTGAGCTGTCCGAAATACACGGATATCTGCAATATTACTCCCCTTTATACAGCAAACAAAATGCTGAATGGGTTGAGGTTCCAGAAAACAATACTTTAGCATTTCTCCGTAGCTATAATCACGCAGTCGTTCAAATAGATACCAGCCCTTATAGAAATTTCTGTAGAATTTCGGAAACCAAAGCAGTTTCAACTGAAGACCTTCCAGATAATGTTTCCGTCTTGATATCAGGAACTGTGAAAGTAACGTGTCAAGAGACCTTGAAAGGAGTAAGAAAAGATTCTGAAATATTTGAGAAAAAAATTGAGTTTTATTCTGCGGATAAGGCACAACGCGTTATCACGCTTAAAGAGCCAATTGTTCTTGAAAAATCAAGGTCACCTTATACTTTTACGGTAAACTTAGAAAACAAAAGAAACAACAAGGTCCACCTGATGATGATGAGTAGTTCAGAAAACGTTCTGAAAAGCAAACATGGTACATTAACAGTAAAGAGCATTTTCGGAAATTTTTCCGGAATTCAAAGTTTTTGTTTTGAACATATATCAAATCGTGATTAGTCCTGCACTCATGTAAAATTGTAATATTATTGTAGAAACAAGTTACCGAAACGTTCATACTTTATAAAGAATGTACAGAGGAAAAATATAAAGATAACCTCAGACATGTGTTGAAATTCATACTAAACTTATAGTAAAATGATCACTAGTGAAAATTCAAACCAATATATATCAAAACACACACATTGTGCGTGTGCGTGCGTATGTGTGTGCGCGCGTGCGTGTGTTTGTGTGTGTGCGCGCGCGTGTGTTTGTAAAAAGAGGTAAAACCGTTAGGCAAGAAAACAAGCATTTTGTTATAGAAAAAAATAATGTTTTGTTTTATATAAATGTAATGCATCTTTGTTTAATTTGTTTGTTTGTTTGTTTGTTTCATTATACGCCTTTTCCCAACATTATTTCAGTCATATAGGCGGGTAGTTTCCTAACCATCGTTCCTGGAGAGTAAGATCAGTACTAGAATACCTTCCTCCGCGCTTAACTACCAAAGCATCTCCCGGGGATCGAACCCACGCCAGATAGGTAACTGGATTGAAAGTCATCGACTCTAACCCCTCGACCACGGAGGCGGTTATCTTTGTTAATGAGTAATAGCTTATGTACTGGATGTGATACTTTTAACAATTTTGTTTAATTTCAAACGTTCCAAATTCATATCTTCCGGAACAAGAATGTATAATATTTCTTCACTAAATGTTTTATTTATTATTCATTTGAATATTTTAATGAGATAGATAGACAGATATATGTGTGTTATTTATCGTATGTGATAATGGAGTAAATTTAATAGATAAAAAGGAAACTTGTACAGCGATTCATTTAATTTCTGATTTATTTTCAAGTAATTGATTATTGTTTTAACAATACACTTATCTTACTGTATGATTACAAATAAATCTTATCAATCGGCGCAATATTAAATGTTCTATATTTTGGACCACCTGTATTAATAATATGTTGTTAAAACTCTCTTTAAATAAAAAAATCAAATTCACCTTAAAACACACACATATTATTACACTAATTGTAAATTGTTTAATTAAGAAGAAAAATAAAAGAAGAGATCACAAGTTTTAGTCAGACAGTTTGTTTTCAATTAATCTATGACTAAATATAATATTCCATTTTTAAAGATGAAAATAGAAACCTTTTTTCACACAAGCAACCGTCAACTCCTCAAAAGAAAGTATATCATACGGATGCCATTTGACATCTTACGTGATCTTGATGTTGCAAAAATACACCTCCTGACCCTGGTGAATACATCTGCCATATGTTTTGACATTTGAATATTTAAAGGTAGACAGGAAAGCGGATACACATAATTTCACATTTGACATTCATGTGGCCTAAAATGTGTTGATATGATATAATAAATTCTGGTTTTACAATCTCAAAATTGAAAGTTATGCCTTTAAATTAACAAAAATAGGCTCCTGGTGACTTAAATATATTCGCTTTTACATTGATAAAGGTATCTGCGGACCTTGTCAATGTAGAGAGCACATAGGGTAGTGCATTATCTTTTAGTATTCTAGTTTAACAACGAGTAAACCAGTGGCAATACTATTACATTGGCTCTTCCCGTATATTTCGGATAAGAGGCCTATACGGCAAACACTCAGGCAATCCGCTGCGTTGTAAGGCAGCCAATGTTTGTGCGTAACTTTGTCTACGCCTGGCATAAAGAGGAAATTTTGATGTTATTTCAAAACATCACTGTTATTGTTTCTTCCATAGTATGTAAGACACATATCGCAATCATTTTTGTTACAAAGAGGCCACATGGGCCCGCTATCTTACCATGCGAAAAAAAGTAGTTCAAATGTGTGGTAAATTACACCAGATGACTATCAGAAACATAAATGCCTTGAAGATCAAACATAACATCCAGAAGGTGACAGTAAGCTCCGAAAACAAGATTTACCGAAGACCTAGGTTCTATGAACGTTACTTGATATGCATATACGTATATCTATATATGACATATGACATGTTATTAAACTGCTATATAAAACAGAGCAGCTTGATTAACCTGGTTCGAAATGTTGGTGTTTAAAAGAATTGTATGTTTTAATCTAAAGGCGTTCTCTACAAGTTTTATACAATAAAATATCCAGTAACATTAACATAACATAAACTCATTACAGAAACTGCAAATCAAATGTATTTTCAGCTAATCAAAACATACATAGGTTTGTTATTACCGTCATAAAACTAAAATGCCAATTGTAGACAAAAATAGATGTGTTGATACAAAAAAGTATTTGACGACTGCTAATTGCTGTACTATGCACTTGAATTTTTATACAACTCAACAACTCACCAATAACTGATATTTTTCAACTCAACTCAACTCTTTTATTTCATGATCAAAGGCCTCCGGCCAAAAATATATAACAAGTAATACAGTAGCATTTGAGGTTATGTCAATATGTCAATATCATATTAGTATTTATGACATAAAACCCCACATAATACCAATATCTACCACATTGTCTATTAATTTCAATCTAATAGCAGTGTTTTTTTACAGTGTCCATTAACCCCAACATAATAGCAGTATTTATGACATTAACATTTACTTTGTTACAATAGCAGTATTTATGACATTGTCTATTAAATTCAATACAATAGCAGTACTGGTATTTATGACATTGTCTATTAACTTCAACATAATAGCAGTATTTATGATATTGTTTATTACCTTCAATACAATAGCAGTATTTATGACATTGTCTATGACCTTCAATATAATATCAGTATTTATGATATTGTTTATTACCTTCAATACAATAGCAGTATTTATGACATTGTCTATGACCTTCAATATAATTTCAGTATTTATGATATTGTATACTACTTCATTACAATAGCAGTATTTATGACAATGTCTATTAACTTCAATACAATAGCATTATTTATGACATTGTTAATTAAATTCAATACAATATCAGTTTTTATGACATTGTCTTTTAAATTCAATACAATAGCAGTATTTATGACAAGACACTGTCTATTAATTTCAATATACCAAAACTTAACTCATTTCTCAGAAAATTTCGAAGCTTACATTCAGGAACAGACCACTGTTCATCAATCCTTCCTTTGATACCATTAAAACGTATATTATTCCTTCTACAGTTATTCTCATACTGGTCTAATTTGTTACTTATCTCATACATTTGATGTTTAATGAAATATGTTCCTGTTTTAATGATTCGTAATCAGTTTTAAGCTCATTCACTGTGGTTAAAACAGTATCTAACTTAGCGTTTAGTTTATTTATATCGGAAGAAACATTATTGTTCTGGGTAGTTAAATTACTTTTAATAGTTTTCAAAAAGTCATTCATATCTGTACCTTGAATATCTGTAGATGCATTGCCGTTTGAAGTTACCCTAGTCGACAGGGGTGTAAGACCTTGATGGTCACAATGACCTTGACCTCCACGTCCTGTAGAGTTCCGAGACCCTGGACGTTATTGGACAGGTGACGGAGACGTAGATTGCTGGTTTTGACTAGACGACGTTGTGAAGGACGATATTGACATCTGACGAGTAGTAACCCCCTTTGACCTTAATGTGCCGTTCTAGTCTGCTCCATGTGGGTCGGGTACTTTGCTGTGACTGTCTTTACTAATCACTTTCTGAGCTTTGTCCGAAATCAGTTTACGTGTGTCATCTGGCTTCATATGTTTTGGAGGTCCCGGATTGCTTTCAATGTCTCCAAAAATAATCAGCAACACATGCATGCAGTGAAACCTTAAGTCTAGATGTAAGGGATAGGATATGTTCTATCTTGAAAATGTTGTCGTACAGATTTTTACAGACCTCCCACAATGACAAGTAACAGATAACCAAATTATCTGCTGATAATGTGTGTAATGAATGAAATTCCAGAACAATTAGGGATAAAAGGTAAACATAGTAGTAAGATGGGGTAAAAATGATGTTGAAAAACTCTTCAGGAGACCCAAAGTTTTGTTATGTTCGAATCCCTAATTAATCCGAAAATGATTATGTCACGTTATTGAATTGTTCTCTAATTAGGGGAGGGGAGGTAGTTTGTAGGCGACCAGATAGCTTAGTCAGTAGAGCCGCAGTACGGTATTCCGAGGGTCCCAGGTTTGAGTCTCGATCAGGCTTCACATTAAAAAATATATACATTTGTACATATATTTTTTTTAATGGAGGTGTTTTTATCATTACTCATGGCGAAAAAAGTATTTAGTAAGTAAAGTATGTAAAGGATCAATGTAAAAGGGATCCTGTTTAGGGGAAACCTCAGATGATTCTTACAGTGTAGAATTACCATCTGAATGCAAGTGTTGTATAGCTTTGAAAATTGTACATCTTATCTCTAATTAGTGCTGTACAACTAAATCCTACCGTCTGTTGAGGCCTTTAGGCTGACTGAAACATCTAATGCGTAATCTCCACTGCTGAATATTAATTCCCATGGTGATTTAAGCAAGTCCAACAAGTTTTAAATTTCTTTTTAAAGGTGTAAAAAGAAGACGCAGCCATTTGCAAGGAACAAAACCAATCGATATCGATTACACTTTATAAACTTGTCCTTGAAAAGCTATCAAGTCAAATTCAAATACAGAATTTTTATGAACAGCCGATTATTTTCGAAAACTCAAGATCGCCGTATATTTTAACGCTCGAACTGGAGTATGAATATTCAGGCTCATTTCAAATGAAGACAGGTCGGAGCTCAGAGAAAACTTTCACGTCTTTGAAGTTGAATATCACAACGGAAAGTAAAGAGGAGTCAGAAGCCTTTGTTTTGAAAATATAAAAAAATTTTGATGAATGTTTGAACAAACTTATTCGTAAGCTGTATTTGAAAGGCTGTTGTTTCTGTGGACACAATGTGTCATGAAACAAGCATTTGCACCGATATATTTTTAGGAATGCTTAAATTTACGAATATGTAGTGTACTTATTTTAAGATGTATGTGTGAGGTTAACAATTATAACTAATCATGTGACCCCTGGGGAAGTTTTTACTGGTGACTAAGTTACTTATCTTCTGAAATTAACATAATGATATTTTACTTGTTATAGATAGGTAGATTTATTTCGGCATTAAGGTAAACATGTTACATGATAAACAAACACAATATAGATTAAAACAAATTACAAATAAAATGAATAAATAAATAAATAAATAAATAAATAAATAAATAAATAAATACGATATAATGTAAATCATGACAAGTTCCCAAAACCAAGGATAACACAAAAAAGCAAGCTCTTATTTCCATTGTGGTCCTTAGCATTTGGTAGCATGACAAAGAGAGGTATTTCATAAAATAAAATTAAAAAATATCACTTATTATAAGAAAAATCACATTAATGAAGGATACCATTTAAAATAACCACAATGTAAAAATGTAAAGTAATGTAATCCATTAAAAAGTCAGTATCACTTTAAGAAATAATCATGTGCATATTAAGAAAAAGATTACATTAAAAAATTATCATAGTTTACAGGATAATTGTGATTTATTATCACAGGGACAATGGTGTATTAATAGTAACTAAAATATGAATTTACAGTTAGGAAAGAACATGCCATAGATTACACTATTTAAAATAAGAGAAAGTTTTTAAAGTCTTAATAAAAAAATTAAACCAATTCAAAAATGAAACAGTAAACCTGAACCGAAAAATAATTCAATAAAAAGAATGGAAACATATAAAATTTTCTTGCAAAAAAATTTACGAAAAACACTAACATGATACTTAAAAAGTGACTTTTGATGGCTACCTTACAACGATGAAATTTGTTAATTTCAGTTATACAAGTTGGAAGAATGTTCCATAGTTTAGCACAAATAAAACTAAAAGACTTTGATCCAGAACCTTTAACCTTAGAAAGACAATATCCTCCTTTTT